GCAATCTCAAATGTGCCTAAGTAAATGTTACCAAAACCTACTCACCTATGAGAGTGTAAAGTTAATGAAGAGACCAGTCTCTATGAACACACTAGTGATGAGATGAATAATCATCGATTGAGCTATGATATCCTCATAATATAACCCAGCTATCACGACCCAGATTTGGGAATTCGGATCGCGAACGGCGGCGTTAACCTATCAAAGGTCGCAGGCAAGCCTCTTCTTATAGTTCTTCACAATCATACAATTAAATTTTGTGGAAAATTAAACTTTTAATATACGAATGAATTATACTTAGACTTCATACTTAAGGTATATAAAAACATAAGATTTTCAAAAACTATTGTCTCACATAAATAAAAACCATCTAAAGAGTGGAAATCTGATCTTAGCCAATAATAGTTAATATGCCATATAGGTCTGATTACAAAAGAATTCAAAGAACATAATCGAAATAGTGTATTCATAAAACTACTAAAAATCTATGTAAGCTAGAATATGAAAGATAGCATCCCCGAACATGAGGACCTACAAATACTTGGAGAAAGAGTTCCAAGATTCTTCAAATCGACCTCCTTAACTTCAGTGGTCGGAACCTACACTTGTAGTAAAATAAAGTAATGGGGTTAGTATACCACATGTACTAAGTATGGGTATATGCAAATAACACATGAGAACATGCATGAAAAAGGTTCATTTATCATATCTTTAGAAAATACGCTAAGTCATATAAAAATTGTCAATGCACATACCGTATCACATATACAAGAAAAATATTCATCACTTAAAGCATGATCATAATAAAAGACATCTTCTCATGGAATCATGTTAACATTACATATTGCAAAGATCATATAAACATAACATACAAAACACTTACCAACGATCCCATCCCCAACCTACAAGGGCAATGCTCAGGTAAAGCCCCCATAACTCCACATAACTTAGTAGATAAGATAGAAGACCATAAGTAAGGCTTTGCTTCATATAACTTATATATAGTTAGTTATCATTAGCATAGCAATATAGCCAAATAACATATTCATCATAATAGCCAACATTCATACAAAAGTAACATCATATGTCATAATATACTTCTTTTATATCATCATATTACTTATGAAAAGTCTCCTAGCAATTCCCTAAGAGTCAACTTATGCAATGTCTAGGTAGAGTCACATACCACTACCTATACTAATCACACTCCTCAAGTCACCCTAGTCAATGTTAATTTTCTTTTCTTTCCTTTTACATGACAGAACATAGGAATTAACCGACATAGACTATGTGAGCTAAACATGAAATCTGGTGTCATAAAACCCATACCAAAAAAAGGTGGTCTACCGGCCAATGTAGAACCTACATGACATAGCTTTCTAGGTGTATCCACTAGCTAGTATCCTATTGTGGCAACATAGTTCAAGAACTAGGAGATGTATAAGAGACCCAGAGTTCCATATTACATGGCAGCCTCAATCTCATGAGAATCATTGTGAACCTACCTTCCCCTAGGGAAGGGGACACTTCCTATATCTAGTTCATCGGTGCTTCGCTTCAGTCCCTTTTCTTGACATAATCTTTAATTTGTTTTTCATAATAAACTTACAATAGGTCATAAAAGATTATATCCTTGTATAACATGATCATGATCTCTTTTATATTAGATTAGAATTGTTCTTTCATCATAACCCCTCATACATGAGATTTACATGGCATAATCATCTTGTGTAAAGCATACAAGAGAGTATCATAACTTGCATATTTATATTCTTATCATAATCTCACAATTTACATATACATAGACATCATATTCACATAGAAACATCATACATACTTTCATAACAAAGCATCAAGACTTTAAGCATCAAGACTTTAGGCTAACAAACAGATCTTAGAGTAATCACAGTTTTAGAAGACTGACCACTAGCTTCCAAGAATTTTATTCATAATGCAATATTCAAATTCATAATTAGTGAAATACTCAATGATATAATCAATAACAACCCATACAATCATGTACAAAGGTAAAAGAGTCATTAAAGAGTTAATTAATGCCTTAAATTCTGACCATAACGTTTACATGTTATCATGTCATAGAAACAATCATATGAAACCATCATATAGGTAAGAAATTGCTTCACACTAAATTCAAGATTAATTAGCATCATCTAATCAACAATACATGCGGAATTAGATATAGAAAAAATTTACTTTTCATTGACAAACATATATCTAGGGTCAGGAAGAAAATCCATTTTGTAGAGTAAAAACCCTAGAATTGAAGTTCTTGAAAATATATCTTGAAAGGAAATGTTGGGGAAATGAATTCAAAGAGTGAAAACCCATACCTTATAGATGAATAATCCACGAAATCTTGATCAGAAATTTTGAAACCTTCGTCTTTTTCATTAAGCTTTTCTTGTTCTTCAATGGAGTTTTGAAAAAGAGAGTGTTCTTGAGAGATTAACAGAACTTCATTTGATTCTAAAATGGAACGTGTAATTGTGGTCTAAAACTGACCTAAAATCATTATGTAGAATCCCCAAGACTTACTCTAAATACCCTCCACTTAAAGTACCATCAACGTCCCTCCTAGTTTGACTACAACGAGGAGAACATTTGACTTAATCCAATCTAAAATTATTCCTAAGGATTTATTTTTGACCCTTTAGATTTAATTAATTAAATGTATAGTTTAATAAATTAAGGGACATAGGTTAATTACTAAAGTATCTGTAAGTCATTGGAACCATAACTTAGCCTTTTGAACCATCACAGGTTAAGTAATCGGATGTTTCTTGAGTTATACTAGGTTAGTGTAAGAATTTTGGTTTGAACCCTCTAATTTAATTAATTAGGTTTATAATTTAATTAATTAGGTGACCTAGGGTAATTACTAAAGTACCCTCAAGTCATTAGTACCATAACTATCTCTTTGAACCATCTTAGGTTAGCTACTAGGTTGTCTTTTTCATGTCTTAACCGAAATCTTGAAATTGCTTTGTGATTTAGGTTTTGTCCTTTTAAATTGATTAATTAAGCTTCTAAATTAATTAAATAAGTAACCTATGGTAATTACTAAAGTATCCCTATATTTTTAGGACCATAACCAACCCTTTTGACAATCCTAGGTTAGGTATTAGGTTATTTTTTCCTTGCCTTAACTGAAATTTGGAAATTGGTTTGTGATTTCGGTTATGTCCTATTAAATTAATAAATTAATTAAGTTTATAAATTAATTAATTAAGTGACCTATGTTAATTACTTAAGTATCCCTAAGTTGTTAGGACAATATCCATCCTTTTGGATCATCCTAGGTTAGGTACTATGTTAGCTCTTAGTTAGTTTCATATCTAAATGTCACCCGGTTAGGTCTTAGGTTTTCGGGTCCCTTATTTAGTTATTTTTGGTTTATCATAGGTTATTTAGTTATTAGGGAGGTTAGTTAGGACCTAGAATCACTTAGGGAGCTTTGCCCCGCGTGGTCCTACGGGCCTACCCCCATGCACCTTAACTGATTTGGTTGAGGCTTGTCTCTTGGAAGTTTAGCACATGTGTTGCTTGTAATTTCCTAACTAAATATTTTTATTGATCATTTGGAACGTTTACTTATTGTTCCAAGGATCCTCATTATGTCCTTGCTAACTGCTTAATCTACATGACTATTTTAAGTGGTCATGTGCTATGGTACCTAGGCTTGACACTTGGATGCCTCGTACATAATGTGTTAAGATTCAAATCTATTAGCTTAGGGTCTTTATTGCAGGTACAATTTGTAAAAAATATTGTTAATACATAGAAAAATTGGCTTACACCCTTTAAGCCAATATTTTCTAATATGTCCAATATTTTGCTTTTTGGGCATTATATAGAAATTGGCTAATAACCCTTAGCTAATTTTCTATATTATGCCGAATATTACTCAATATTGGGCACTGGAAGGCCTATGTATCCCCAATACGCATTCTTAAAAAACTATTGGGCTCTTCACTAGACATGTAATTTTTCAGAATGTTACATTATCCCTCCCTTAAATACATTCATCCCCGAATGACACAAAAATCTTTTGGAGTTAGGAAAAAGACTTAATACCAGCACAACATACACATAACATGTCATTATACTTAACACTTTCTTTTTGATTCACAAACATAGTGAGGAATTTCCCTCCCAACCTTATCATAATCCCAAAAATTCATCAAAGAGTTACCATGCTACCAATCTTATGAAGATAACAACAAAAACAAAAAATATCCCAAGAAAACATATGCATACAAATTTCACATAAGTGCAAGAATACAGTATCTAAACATCTTCTTAGAACTGTAGTTGGTATTGTCTTTCACCAAAACATGCACCTATTTAGTGTACAAGTTAAATCTTTCATTCTTGTTAAATTGGACATGAAGTCTTTATAAGCCAATCTTTATTGGCTATGTCCATTATTTGATCATTCGCATTATATATGAAGTCATTATAAGTCAATCTTTATTAGCTTAAGCAAATATATGTCAAAACTTCATTCTAATCAATAAATGTATAGACATTAATTAAGAAAACTTGTAACATACCCGTCACAATGTCAAGAGAGCGTTCTTGTTCACCCCTAGCCTTGAGAGCACAGAAACGGTTCCTTTTTGGAGCTTCAGAACTAGGACCGCTTGGTTGACCTTGGCTACTAATCTTACCTTTAATTCTAACATTAGGACATTCTCTCACCATATTGCCACCTTTGTCACTAAAAGACATCCCCCCCCATGTTTCTTACCACACTTACCACAAGTTGGTCATTCTTTTGGTGGATCAACATTTCTCCCCTCTTGAGATTTACGACTAGAACATCTATCATTGTGGTCGTTGGAGAAACTACAAGAAACCTTATATGAAAACCTTTTCTTAAACTTAGGCTTGTCTTGCGCATCCAGCCTACTCTTAGAAGAACCACTTTCAAACGATGTTGCCTTCTTAACGTCCCTATTTCTCTTCCTTAGACAATTTTACTCAACTTGTTGGGCATGAACCATTAACCTAGAAAGATTCATATTTTCATGAAGCATGGCTGCAAGAGATTCTTCTTCAAGCTCTTCAGACACGCCTGTTACATAACGGCTCATCTCATCCCTAGCATTAGAAACAAAAGAAGAAACATATTTGGACTACATAATAGACTTCAAGAAGTATTAGTTAACACTCATACCTCATTGACGAAGGTTGACGAACTCCTCTAACTTAGCTACTCTTTGTTCCCTTGGAAATAATCTGTCAAGAAACGTCTTTTTGAAGATCTCCTAAGTCACGGGACCATCTCCTAAAACCCTACTATCCTTCCACAGATTGTACCATGTCTGAGCCACGTCCTTAAGTTAATAGGCAGCAAGTTCATCTTTTCTGTAATACTCACCCCCATAGAAAACCAAATCATATAGACCTCATGAAGGAAGTATTGGGAGTCTTCATCAACTTTCAATCCAAAGTACTTTGGAGGATCCATTCTCGTAAAGTCACTAAAATGACTAGCCACACTACTAACATGGTAATCCTGTCGAGGTGCAACCTCCCTGTTAGATTGAGCCATGAGGGCTTGAGCGGGCCATTTGGAACAGGTCTGCCCTCACCTCACAATCCGTCATAGCTGGAGGATTCACCGGAACTTGATCATTCGCAACATCTTGCACTTCAGGAGCATTTCGGTTACCTTGGGGAATAGCTCCTGTATTCGCAATCCCTTCTCCTACTCTTCTCTCGAATTTCCCTCTTGTGTTCATCGGCTATATACAAAATAAAGGGATTAGATTCTAAAGGCACATAGTGTCAAAGCTCTAAAGGCACGATAAAAGAGTATCAAGAAAAGAGAAGTTTCCTAACCGTCACACAGCCTCTCATCCATTATTGTGGCGCGCTTCACAACCGCGAACAAGATACTAGATAATGTGGTTTAGTAAGACATTGATACTAAGGATTTTTTTAACCTAATGATCTGATACAAAGTTTGTCATGACCTGGATTCTAGAATTCAGATCGCGACCGGCATCGTTAGCCTCTTAGATGTCGCAGACAAGCGTCTTCTTAGAGTTTATCATAATCATAAAATTAAATTTTGCGGAAAATTAAAAACTTCTAATATACTAATGAAGTATACTTAGGCTTCATACTTAAGGTTTATAAAAACATACGATATCATGAAACTATTGTCTCACATATATAGAAACCATTTAAAGAGTGCAAATCTGAACATAGACAATAACACGTAATACGCCATATAGGTCTTATTACAAAAGAATCCATAGAACATAATGGAAAAAGCGTATTATTAAAACTACTTAAAATATACGTAAGCTAGAATATGAAAGATCGCATCCCTGAACATGAGGACCTATAAAGACTTAGAGAAAGAGTTTAGAGATTCTTCAAATCAACCTTCTAAACTTTAATGGTCGAAACCTACAGTTGTAGTAAAATTATGAAATTACCACATATACTAAGTAAGGGTATATGCACATAACACATAAGGACATGCATGACAAAGGTTCATTTATCATATATTTAGAAAACATGCCAAGTCATATAAAAATTGTCAATGTACATACCGTACAACATATACAAGCAAAATAATTCATCACTTAAAGCATGATTATAATCAAAGACATCTTCTCATGACATCATGTTAACATTACATATTGCAAAGATAATATAAACATAACATACAAAACACTTACCAACGATGCCATCCCCAACTTACAACTGCAATGGTCAAGTAAATCCCCATAACTCCACATAATTGAGTAGATAAGATAAGAGACCATAAGTAAGGCTCATATAACTTGTACATAGTTATCATTAACATTGCAATATAGCCAAATAACATATTCATCATAATAGCCAAAATTCATATAAAAGTAACATCATATGTCATAACATATATCTTTCATATCGTCATATTACTTATGAACAATCTCCTAGGATTTACCTTAGAGACAACTTGTTCAATGTCTAGGTAGCGTCCCATACCACTACCTATACTAATCCAACTCCTCAAGTAACCCTAGTCAATGTTTGTTTTCTTGTATTTCGTTTTACATTAGGGAACATAGGCATTCACCGACATAGACCATGTGAGATAAACATGGAATCCGGTTTCATGAAACCTCACAGCCAAAAAAGGTGGTCTACTGGCCAAAGTTGAACCTTCATGACATAGCTTTCTATGGGGATCCACTAGTTCGTATCCTATGGTGGCAACATAGTTCAAGAACTAGGAGATGTATTAGAGACCCATAGTTCCATATTACATGGAAGCCTCAATCTCATGAGTATCATTGTGAACCTACCTTCCCCAGGGAAGGGACACTTCCCATTTCTAGTTCATCGGTTCTTAGCTTAAGTCCCTTTTCTTGAAATAACCTTTAAATAGTTTTTCATAGTAAACATACCATAGGTCATAGAAGATTATCTCCTTGTGTAACATGATCACGAGCTCTTTTAGATTGGATGATCCTTTCATCGTAACCCCTCATACATGAGAATGACATGGCATAATCATCTTGTGTAAAGCATAAAAGAGAGTATCATAACTTTTATATTAATATTCTTATCATAATCTCATGATTAACATATTCATAGCCATCATATTCACATAGCAACATCATACATACTTTCATAACATAGCATCAAGACTTATTGGCTAACAAAAACAATTTAGAGTAATCATAATTTTAGAAGACTTACCACTTGCTTCCAAGAATCTTATTCATCATGCTATATTCATAATAATACTTAGTGAAATACTCAATTAAATAATCAAGAAAAACCCATAAAATCATATACAAGATCAATACATAGCATTGGCGAAGGTAAATGGGTCATTAAAGAGTTCATTCAAACCTTAAATTCTAACTGTAACTTTAACATATAATCACGTCATACGAAACCATCATAAAGGTAAGAACATGCTTCAGACTAAATTCAAGCATAATTAGAAGCATATACTCAACAATTCATGCAGAATTAGATATAGAAGACATTTACTCTGCATTGAAAAACATAAATCTAGGGTCAGGAAGAAAATCAATTTTGTTGAGTAAAAACCCTAGAATTGAAGTTCTTGAAATTATATCTTGAAAGAACATATTGGGGAAAGGAATCTCAAGAGTTAAAAACCATACTAATAGATGAAGAATCCACGAAATCTTGATTGGGAACTTTGAAATCTTCGTCTTCTTCCTTAAGCTTCTCTAGTTCTTCAATGGAGTTTGGAAAAAGAAAGCGTACTTGAGATATTAAGAGAATTACATTTGATTATGATTTGGAACGTGTAATTATGGTCTAAAACTGACCTAAAATCATTATATAGACGTCCCAAGACATACCCTAAATACGCTCCACTTAAATTACCATAAACGTCCCTCCTAATTTTACTACAACTAGGAGAACATTTGACTTAATCAAATCTGAAATTTTTCCTAAGGATTTCGTTTTTACCTTTTAAATAAATAAATTAAATAAATAATTTAATTAATTAAGAGACCTATGGTAATAATAAAAGTACCCCTAAGTCATTGGAACCATAACTAACCCTTTTGTACTATCCTAGGTTAAATACTAGGATGTCTCTTGAGTTATACTAGGTTAGTGTAAGAAGTTAGGTTTGAACCCTCTAATTTAATTAATTAAGTTGATAATTTAATTAATTAGGTGATCTAAGGTAATTACTAAAGTACCCTCAAGTCTTTACGATCATAACGAACCCGTTAAACAATCTTAGGTTAGGTACTAGGTTTTCTTTTTCTTGTCTTAACCGAAATCTTGAAATTGCTTTGTGATTTCGGTTTCTTTCCTTTCAAATTGATTAATTAAGCTTATAAATTAATTAATTAAGTAACCTAGGGTAATTACTTAAGCATCCCTATGTTGTTACGACCATAACCAACCCGTTGGACAATCCTAGGTTAGGTACTAGGTTGTTTTTTACTTGGCTTAATCGAATTCTTGAAATTACTTTGTGATTTCGGTTTTGTCCTTTTAAATTATTTAATTAAGTTCCTAAATTAATTAATTAAGTAACCTAGGTTAATTTCTAAAGTATACCTAAGTTGTTAGGACCATAACTAGCCTTTTGGATCATCCTACGTTAGGTACTAGGTTTTCTTTTAGTTAGTTTCATGTCTTAATGTCACCCGGTTAGGACTTAGGTTGTCGGGTCCCTTAGTTAGTTATTTTTGGTTGGTCCTAGGTTAGTTAGTTAGTTAAGGAAGTTAGTTAAAGACGTTAGTTAGGACCTAGAATCAGTAAGGGAGCCTGCCTCCTATGCACCCTAACCGATTCAATTGGGGCTTGTCTCTTGGACGTTTAGCACATGGTTCATTTGGAATGTTTACTCATTGTGCCAAGGATCCTCACTATGTCCTTGGTTACTGCTTAATTTATATGCCCATTTTAAGTGGTCATGTGCTATGGTACCTAGGCTTGACACCTGGATGCCTTGTATATATAGTGTTAAGATTCAATGCTATTAGCTTAGTGTATTCATTGAAGGAAAAAATCCTAAACAAGGTTGCTAATACATAAAAAAATTTGCATACACCCTTTAAGCCAACATTTTCTAAGATGCCCAATATTTTGCTTATTAGGACATTATATAGAAATTGGATAATACCCCTTAGCTAATTTTCTATACTATGCCCAATATTTCTCAATATTGAGAAATGGAAAGTCTAAGTATCCCCAGTACGCATTCTTAAAGACCTATTGGGCTCTTCACTAGACAGGTAATTATTTGGAATATTACACCAGCTTTCACGGTGTATAAGTTGAATATAATGGAAATTTATGCTGAGCACAGTTTCACTAGCTATGAGCGGTGATGCCTTCTTTCGGGAAGGGCAGACGTTCACGTAACTCTCATGAGATGAGACTGTCCAGCATGACGGGTATGGGTCTCCTTATATCTCTTAGTATTTGAACCTATACTACCAATATAGGGATATAGTGTGGTTCAAATCCCATGTACTCTAGCATGTTTTGGGTCACTTTGGCCGGGTATTCCACCTCTTTTTGGTGTGGAGAGACACTGGATTTCATGATTCTCACATGATCTATGTCGGTTAAAGTTAAAGTTTCGAATGAATGAATTAAGCCAGCCTCAAATGATGCACATAATGAAATGAATGATACCAAAAGTGTTAGGATAGGATAATCAAGAGGTCATCTAGACTAAAATAGTAACACTAGGTCATTCTCGATCATTGCAAAATGAACCTTATGAAAGTCTTAAACTACATCCTAGGTATAGTTGCAGTTCACACTAGCCTATGAAAGAAATGTAATGAAGTACGTACGAATGAATGAACAAGACTCTATGTTTGCTAAAAAAAGGATCCCTAATTGAGGTCCCATATGTTGAGGCCTCATTTTAGGAAGTATTAATGTCAAGTCCATGATTCCAAGGTCTCATGGCATATGAATGAATAATATGAAAGATGTTATGTGTTATATGCAATATGTTATATGCTATGTGTAGGATGTTATATGTTGTGTGCAATATGATATGTATGATAATGCATGTTACTCTCATGGCATAACTTTCCTAATCCAAATTTTTAAAAGTCACTCACATTCCTAATCCCATTTTGGCAAGTCCACTAACTTGACTTTCCATAATCATGTATTTAGGAAGGTGATGTTCTTAATCATGCATGTCCTTGGTGTGTTCATTCATATGCCCATACTTGGTACAAGTGTGTACTAATACCATACGATTCAACAATTTTAG